GGAGTTCGAACCCTAAATGGCTCTCCACACTGGGGAGGTGTCCAGCCTGGGGCAACTCCAGCTGGCCTGTGTCTGCAGAGAAAGACAGTTCCTTCAGATGGAGGAAGGTCTTCTTTCTCTATTCAAAAGAGACCACACCTGTTTGATCTCCCTTTCAACGAGTCTGGTCACGAATGACTTCAAACTCTCCATGCCAATAGTTTTTATCAAAGACTATTTCGGGGTCTGTGTTGATATACAAGTATGGAAAGTATGGTGGGTTATTAAGCAGGGCATCATCAGAATCATCTATGGATTAAAACAAAAACATGCTTGGCTTCGCCTCTGAAGATTTTGATGGGGAAGATCTAAAGTGGGTGCAACCACCTGTATTTCAAAAACCTCCATGGATACAATCCACATGCCCATCAGTAGGAGACTAGATACAAAGTATGGTTTATTCATACAGTGGGAAGTTACTCAGCAACAACAAAGGAAAAGCTGCTGTTACATGCAGCAACATCGGTGAATCTCCCAGACATTAGTTTAAATGAAAAAAGCCAGTCACCAAAAAATGTACAACGTTAGGATCCATTCATATGAAGTTTGAAAATAAGCCAAGCTGATATATCATGTTAGAAAAAACTTGGTTTCTACTAGGGGGATGTGGGATTAACAAGAGGGACACAAGGATACTTTCTGAGGGTGATGACAATATTTTATACCTTGTTTTGGGTGATGGTCTACACAGATGCATATAATTTCAAAACTTGAACTGAATTCTTAAGAGATGTGTGTTTTATTATATATAATTTATACATCATTTAAACAAAAGAGCCGAATTTCCCTGTAAGTCTCCAAACTAGGGTCCTGTACCTGTGCCCAAATCCAGGAAATGATCGTCTTCACTCATTCCAGCTCAGCCCAGTTACAGCCTCAAGAAATGAAATGCTTCTCAATTCTTTGCTGTATTTCACACAACCCACCATTTTCATTTACCTTCCAGGATTTCTTCCATTCTTACTGTCTTTTGAATAATAAAACTCCAGAGAACTTAACATACAACAGCCAGCTTGATAATAAACCCATAGTTCTCTAAACTGTGTCCCTTTCCTGTCTCCATTTCAGTAGTCAGTATTCAGTATTCCTAGAAAGAGGCCCTTCCCTCCTAGGCCACCTTGTAGGGCCCTCACGTTGATCAAGCACCTACTATGTGCTGGACTTTGTTGGCTCCATGACCATGGCTATCTCATTTTCTTTCTGAAATAACGCTGAGAAATAGATATTCTTACTGACTTCACTTTTCAGGTTAGCAATTGATAAGGGAAGATAAATATAGAGCAAGCCCCAAAGGTGACATCAGGCTGATGAGTGGAGGATGCAGGGTTAGATAGAACAGTGATTGCAAAAACCTCGTACAGTTTAAGGCCACTTTCTTTCCAGGGCCTGAGGTGAGGAAAGCAGGGACCAGGGAGTTGGAAGAAGAGATACAGCTGAGTGTAAAAAGGGCAAAGGTCCTCATTTGACAATGTTTTTCAAGCTCAGTTGCCAGAATTCAAGCCAGCCAGGCCTCACACACCCAGGCAGTCCCATGCTCTCTGGCTCACCCCTGCTGGTAGCTTAGAAGTGGCAGCCTCAGCGCGACTTTTGTTTGATATAACTTAGAAAACAAGAAGGAAGCAAGTGGGGGATGTAGAGATGTCTTTACTTTTAGGATTCTGGCTCCCTGAGACGAGAGGAGTGGGTTCCCTTCCGGGGGTGGCGATGCACAGGGAGAAGCACTGGAGCAGATTCTGTGGGGTGTGTGTGAGTGTGTGTGTTGTGTGTGTGTGTGTGTGTGTGTGTGTGTGTGTGTGTGTGTCGGCGCGCCTGTGCGTGGAGGGGGATTGCTGTACCCAGCGCGAGGCACTGGGGGAGGAAGGAGCGGTAGCAGAGATCTGAATAATTGATTCTTCAGCCGCCCCAGACGCTCAGAAGCGGGCGTAGAGCGTGGTTTCAGCACCACGGACAGCGGCACACCGCCGCAGGCTCCCCCCTTCGCCAGGCAACCGCCTATCCTGGCCCTGTCGCCGCCGTGCGCTCCCGAAACGGGTGGCTGTGCTCCGCGCCGCCGCCGAGGGACTGCGGGGTCTGCCTCGGCCCGCCTCCGGGGAGGGCGGCTACGGGCGGGAGATGCTTTCACCCGCTGGAGCTCCAAGCCTCTCTGGCTGTCGCGGGGGCTGCTGCGTCTAGTCGACTGAGAACAAGTCCCTAAGTTGGCGTGGGGGCGCCCCTGCCTTCCTCCTCCTCTTCCTCCGAGGCCACCGCAGCAGAAGCACGCCCCAGAAGCCCGGCTTTGCCAGTGCTGTGAACCAGGGTGGCTAAGCGCTCTCCGGACTCCCGTCGGGAAATGGGGAGCTGAACGCCTGGCGGCGAGCTGGCCCCGCAGCGAAGGGCCCAGAGGGAGCTGCCATCCCCCGCCCGCGCCTCTCTCCGGCGGGGACCGCGGGGATCCCCGGCCACACGCGCGCGCGCGCTCCCACACTCACTCACACACACACTCGCCCTCACACACACCACCAGCTCGGAGCCTGGGCTGCGGAGAGGGCTGTCGGGCGAGCTCAGAGGACCGGGCAGCTGCTGTCCGGAGTGGGGCAGGAAGCAGAGCTCCGGCTTTTGGAGGGAGGTGCTGCGGGGTTGGCCGGAGCATGGGGCTGGGTGAGCGCTGAGAGTCGCGGCCGCAGCCATCAGCCCTGGAGATGACCAGGAGCGGCCACTGCTGAGAACTATGTGGAGAGAGGCTGCGGTGAGTGCTGGCGCGGGACGCGGGGCCTGGGCACCCCTTTGGGGAAAAGACCGAGAGGCCTGAATAGCAGGGGGCGGCAGGACCGCAAGGGGGTCGTTGCGTGGAAATGATCGCACCTCCCTTGGGGATCCGGGACCGCGGGAGCCTGAGTCCTTCCCTCCCCCTCTCCTGCCGGCTCATAGCAAACTCAGCCAGCCGCCCCCCCATTCCCTCCTCTTTCTCTCCCTACCCCCCTCCCTCAGCAGCTCCTAAGCCGAACAACTCCCAGCAACCGGCGCCAGGGCGGTGGTAGGGGGTGAGGGTGGAGAACCCAGTTAGCTTCTTGTGCGTGGCCAACCTGGGGCTCCGGTTCTCCTTTACGCCCCGAAGCGGAGCTCTCCAAATCGACCACCGGGTCTGAGGATCCGCACAGGGGGTCTTGGGCACCGAGCTTCAGCTTCCCCTCTCCGGTCTAGCCCCTTGTGCGCACGGGGGTTTGTCAGTATTGCGGACTGCAGCCTGCCCCCCAGTCCCCTTTCCCCTGCCGGTGGGCTGACCCTGCCTCTCTGTCTCTTCTCCACCCCGGTAGAGCCCTGCTGCAGAGCCTCCGGCTGGGATAGCCGCCCCCCGTGGGGGCGATGCGGACAGCGCGGGACAGCCAGGGGAGCGCGCGGGGGCCGCAGCATGCGGGAACCCCCTAAACCCGGTGGCTGCTGAGGCGGCCGAGATGCTCGTGCGCGCAGCGCGCCCCACTGCATCCTCGACCTTCTCCGGCTACAGGTACGTCCCAGCTGTAGACCTGGGCTCGGCCGGCCGGGGAAGAGGAAGACTTGACCGGAGAGAGAGCGGGAGAAGGATCAGGAGAGAGGGGAGATGAAGCGGGAGAGGGAGCATCTGTAGCGAGGCGCGGGAGGAGCACCAGGGGGCGCTGCGGCTCCGTGTTCCGTGGTGTTCACCCGAAGAGTGCCTCTACCAGAACGAGTTCTCCCCAACTTCCCCTGGCTCCGGCAGCGCCGGGCCCGAGGGGCGCGCGCCTGTGCACGCGTGCACGACTGTGCTGGTATTTGCAGGCACGCGCAGTTGTGCAGCTGGCGTGATACATGTGTGTGCACCAACTGAGGACGTGTGCGGACTCCGAATGGCCGTGGGCACCGCTACGGCGGCCTGCGGCTGTGCGCAGAAACGCGCGCGTGCCTGTGAGGTTGTGCAGCCCACTGCCCACATGCCCCTAAGACTTGGTAATAGGATCTGGGGTGGAAAGCCTGGGGAGGGGCTGTACAGTTCACGTCCGTCGGAGAGCTGCTTAGGAGCCCGCCTTTACCCCCACGCACGTTCTCTGCCAGCTCCCATGCGCCGGCCCACGGGGTGGGGAGACGCGCCTCCTCTCCTCTCTGCGGTTCTGCATTGCACGCGGCGCGCGTGAGAGAGGGCGTGTGTGTGTGTGTGTGTGTGTGTGTGTGTGTGTGTGTGTGTTTGAGCGTGTGTGTGCACGCGCGCGTGTAGGGGGCGGGCCCTGGGGCCCGCCTTCTGTTGAGTGGAAATCGCTTTACGGCCCCTACGCGAGGTGGAGCGGGCCCTAATTTCCCCCCAGGCACCCCGGACCCTGGGGCGCACAAGTGAGTGTCCTCACTCCGGTGCACTGGGGGGGCACCCTCCAGGAGAGGAGTCCGGTCTGCAGCGGGTGCCGGGTGGAGCCAGGTCTGTGCTGCACCTGGCAGGTTCACAGGGGGCGGGGTCAGTCAACTAGCCCAGCGCGGAAGTGGGGCTGCGGAGTCTCTACACCGCCTCCGCACGCGGGGGCTGGTCTGTAATTCGCTCCTCGTGAGCAGGGGGCGGGGTCGGTAACTTGGTCAGCACTAGGCAGGTGGGAGAGGGGTGGGAGAGGGGTGGGTAGAGGGTTTGCTATGTGTGCCTACGCTGAGGGGCTGGGGTCCACAGCTAACTTGGGGGGTGTGGTGGGAGATGTGGGCAGAATTAAGTATGGAAAAGAGGCCGGAGACGGGGTGAGAAGGAGGTTGGATGCAAAGATGAACTTGGGGACAGGGATGGAGAATTAGCTCGGATTGAAGTTGTGGCTAGAGTTGGATCGAGGGATGTGGATGGCATCAGGAATGGGGAATGGAGTCAGTGACTGTCAGCTTGCTCTGGGGATGGGCTCTATACCTGGCTCCTAGAGCCAGGGGCTGGGTTAGTAATCCTTTTCGTCCAGATCTCTTGCTCACCGCTGCCCTGACTCTCCCTCTCCGCCTTACAGGGACCGTAAGTGGCGACTATGGGCAGACTGGGTTATTGGACCCTGCTGGTGCTGCCGGCCCTTCTGGTCTGGCGCGGTCCGGCGCAGGGCACGGCGGCGGAGAAGGGTCCCCCGGCACTAAACATTGCGGTGCTGCTGGGTCACAGCCACGACGTGACGGAGCGCGAACTGAGAAACCTGTGGGGCCCCGAGCAGGCAGCAGAGCTGCCCCTGGACGTGAACGTGGTAGCCCTGCTGATGAACCGCACAGACCCCAAGAGCCTCATCACACATGTGTGCGACCTTATGTCTGGGGCGCGCATCCATGGCCTTGTCTTTGGGGACGACACCGACCAGGAGGCCGTGGCTCAGATGCTGGATTTTATCTCTTCACAGACTTTCATCCCCATCCTGGGCATCCACGGGGGCGCATCTATGATCATGGCTGACAAGGTAAGTCGGAGAGGTGATAGGCTGCAAGGACCCGGGAGTGTGCCAATCATCCTACAGCCACCACAGGTCTTTGGGAGCCTCTGGTATCTGTTTTGATCTGAAAGAGGGTCGTGGTCCTGGTGAGAGCCAGGTCCTGCCTCTCCAACCCAGAAATGGATGGAAATGCTTTTTACCTTGGTTCTGAGAGCGGGGTACTCAGAGGCACCTTGAGTGTGCCAGGAAGAACTCAAGAAAACGCAGATGTGTAATGGGGTGGTGGAACACTTGGAGGTTTCCAAATAGTGCACAGAGGTGAGCCTGGGGACACTTGCAACACTATGGCTCATGTTTCTATAATATCACTTTTACCCGATTTGTGGGAAAATGTCAATTCTTCCCTCCGTGGTAAGTGACTAAAACTATTTTTACAAACGATTAAATGTGGGCATGTTATGGAATAGAATGCATAGTTTTTAGGTAAAGCACAAAAGGCCAGAGAAATGTCATGTTTCCACAGACGGTCTACAGTTGGGGGAAGAGGGGTAGAGCGTTTGAGAAGCCCTGGGCTGGAGGTGTCCAGGAGGGTGTTCCTCTAAGGAGTGAGTAGAGAGAACCAGCCGCAAACCCTGAGCATGGAGGGCCTGGCATTTTCCTACATGTTGCCTAGTGTGGCTGATAGGGGCCCATGGAGGGGTTGCCTCCCCAGGATGGGTTTTGATAAGAAGTTGGAGAGTGTCCTCACGAAATAAGGTGTGTCCACAGATCTTGGCTTAGAATGAGAGCTCAGGTCTTTCTGTGGACCCTCTGAGAGAGTTGGTTTGGGGAAGAGGAGAGAGAGAGACTTCCAGACTGGAGTGAGATGTTACGAGGGCCTGATTTGAGGGTCATGCAGAAGCGGAGGTATGGAAGAGGGTCAGAAGGGAGAAGCAAAGTGAGGAAGGAGAAAAAAATGGAGTCATGGGTGCACTGTACCTCTAAGCCCCAGGAAAGGACTGGGGTGGGGTAGGAAGGGGAGGAGGGGTGCGTGTCCTTGTGTGCCATGGTCCTCAGCCCTGAGACCTTCTTGGAGTGTGTTCCTTCGATAGCAGGAGACATCCTAATGGAGCGAGCAGACATTTGTCAGAGCACTTTCTTTCTGATGCTCTCAAAGCACTTTTATATTCATCAAATCAGATTCTGCCTCTGCTTCAGCAATTCCCACCAGCTCCTTTGGGAACAGTATTAATTTTTTCAGTTCTCTTGGGCTGCAGCACATTCAGCCGAAGTATACAACCGATGCAGTATCTTATTAAACATTCATTATAAATGGTTTGCAGGCTAGCAGAATTTCTGCGTGTGGCTGAACATTTTCCCAGCCACCTCTCGGTTTTGGGGGGGCTCCTTTCTTGGATAAAAAAAGTAGGGAATAGCTGTGCCCTGCCACCAATTGTTCGAACTGGGAAAGGTCTTGGAGTCTCCTAGAGCATCCTACAACTTTCAGATGAAGTGCCTGAGGCATAGGGGGCAGGTAATGACTTGGCCGAGGCCAAAAGGTGGGCAATGGAACTAGAACTCAGTTTTTTATTCTCAAGCTGTGATCTCACATTCCAGGAAATTAAGCCTATCCTTTAACTTTGTCATCCCATCTTCAAGAAGGTCAAGGAATTAATCTCATTTTATAGGAGGTTCTAAGCCATGGCGAGGTACAGTGAATCAGAGCCTAGGGCTCGTGCATAAGGAATGACCAGCCCTCTGACGAAGGCATGAAGAAGAACTACAGTTTCTAGCAGGGGTTTGCAGTGTGATTTTGGGATCTAGATATTACCACTGACCCCTCCTCCCTTCTGAAGTTTTGACCAAAGAAGCAATACGCAAAAGACAGTAGCCATGTTGAAAGTCAAATGTATGGATTGACTAGGGTCCAGCATGATCAGTGGGGAAATCTGGTGAAATCTTGAGTTGGAGAAGGTGTCTTGAGGCTGGGAGGGCTGAGCTGGCAGGTATGTGGCTCAGGCCCTTACCTGACTTACCCATAGGACTGGAGGCAAGGGAGCGGGAACAGAGAGTGGGCTCATAGTTGAGCACTCATCTGATATACAGTGACCCTGCCCACTGTGAATGTCAGGCTCTGACCTATTGGACCAGCAAGCTGCTCCTTCCTTAAAGGGGTATTAGAAAGGGAATTTTGAGGGTATGGGTGGAAGCATTCTCCTCTTCTGTAGAATGAAACAGCCTTATAGAGATTGGACAAGAGCTGACCCCACTTAATAGTACAGAAGGAAAAGGGAATCAGGAAATGGCAAAAGGAAGATGAGAAAAGACATTTTCAGAGAAATCAAGATTGGAGAGAGATTTAAGAGGGGATGAAGAGGAGAGGAAGGAAAATTGGTTCGAAGATGGTGAAGGGAATTGGTTACTCCTCTTTGTTGTCAGGGCTTGCCAAGTTGGTCTTGATGGCAGGGAATCAAAGAAGTGAGCGTGGATAATGTTGGAATATATGTTGGGCCCCATGTGTGGGATGAGCAGGTGATATTGAGAGGAGGCGGGTTAAAGAGTGGTTATTTTGAGAAACTTGGATGTGTTAAAAAAGAAGAGATTGTCTGAGATGTGGACAGCCCTTCCTACCATTAGTAGCACATATAGTTGGCTAGTGCCTTTGCCACTTGTTTCTTTTGGAGCTGAACGCTGAATGCAGTTTGTTTGGTTCTGAAGAAGCAGCCATGAGACGTTGCCCAAAACTCTACCTTGCTTGGTTGAGTGTGCCAGTGGTGTTATGGCCACAAAGTCTGAATCTCCCCAAACTGAAAAGGCCTTTCTGCCTCCCCCTAAGATGATGTTCATTTGGTAAAGCCCAGAACATACTTGTGTTGTTTTCACTTCCAAATTGGTAAAATGATAGCTGATAGCGTCCCTGTGGATAAGAACGGTAGTTAATTTGATTATCAGGTAAATTGAACACCCACCGCCCCACCCCACCCCCCACCACCATTTTTACCTTTCCCTCAGTCTACTTGACCCATGGGAAAAAAAGCCTTATAATTGAAATGTGCTAAGTGGCAGATTTTTTGTGGTGTTAATTTACAATACAGATGTTAATTTTTCCTTCTATCAATGGGTGGTCTTGAAATATAATTAATTTAGAGGTGAAAATAATGGTTGTTGTAGATAAAGTTCTAATCTTATCTTGGTTTGGCCATTTTGATCCTCTCCAAATGGAATACACTCTTGTTGCAGCAATAGCCCCTAATAAATCAGGCATATGCACTAGACCTTTACATTTCTGCTCAGTGTCCTCACATCCTCCACCCTCTCCTCCATTTCTAATGGCTCCATGGGGGAAAAGGCAAGGCTTGCTTAGATTTTAGCTACATCTATCCATGTCAGTTACTGCACGGGCTTCGCTTTATATGACGTTTCTATCCATACCTCATCTCCTCTACTGGAGTGTAAGTTCCTTGAGGACAAACTTTTTTAAAAAAAGTGTGTTTATGTGTATTTGAAATAACGAATACTCCTTCTCCACAGTTTATAAAAATAATGTTTCATTGTAGACTGCTTAGAAAGTATATTAATATTTAAAGAAAAAATAAAGTTCTCCCCTCTAAGTTCTGTCACCAGGAGTAACCACAGTTGGACACGTGGGTCTATTTCCTTCTAAGCTCTATTTAGTTAGTTATCAGTTCAGGATTATACTGTATATATGGGATTTTTTTTTTCTTTTTTGTACTTTGCACTCTGTGGGCTTTTTTTTAGTCAGAAGATCCACGGTTTTCTTTAATTCCAGAAAAATCTCAGCCATTATGTGTTGGATGTTTCCTCTCCAACATTTTCTCTGTTCGCTCCATATGTAGTTTCTTGATCAGTCCTCCAGGTATCTTAAATTAAACATTTTTTTTTCAGTTCTCTATCTCTCTGTGCAGTGTTGGGAAGGTTTCGTCAGTTCTACACTCCAGTTAACCAGCTCTTTTTATTTGTATCTGGTCTCTTATTTTGCCTGTCTGTTGAGCTTTTAATTTCAACAGTGGTTCACCATATTTCCAAGATAAATAATTGGCCCCTTTTATACCTTCCTGCTTTTTGTGTTTTATAAAAAATTCTTTTCACTTTGTGAATGTAAATCCTTCCTCTGTCCCTTTGAGGATTAAAAAAAAAAATACTGCAAAGTCCTTCTCTGATTGCTTTAGTGTCTTTTTTTCTTCAGGTATGAATTCTTTCATTTTGTAGATTCTGATCACTGGATGTCCTCATATGTCCTCTTAATTTTTGTTTGTGAATTTTTAAGGTGATTTTATTATTTCCTCTGCCCCATGTCTGCAAGGGTATGTGCTTTTAAAGTAAAGCTCATGTCAACAGCTAAGCTCAGAGCTCTCTCCCTGCTCTATTATATCCTGTGGTGCAGGCTTGGGTTCCAGTTTCATGTAAGTTACTTCATTTTGGCTCCTTGCCACAGACAGGGGCATCCTTTTTGGCTGTGACTCCTAGCAGCATGATTCTGGGTACAGTTTTGCCTCTTATCCCCTAGGCAGATGTTGGGACCTCTGCTTCCATGGCTTATATTGAACCTATCCCCCATGAACCATGTGGCTTTGGTTCCTACTTGACATTGTAGAGTCTCATCTTTTGATTCTTTTGTTTTCAGGGAGTCCTCTTTATCTTTGATCTGTGATTTCCCTTTTCCTATTTCCAAGCAGTACTATGTAAATTTTAAAATATCTAAAGATTTATCTATAAATTCTGTGTCTTAGGAGCCGAAGAGGGAGGTTACTGAGTGTGTTCACTTTGATTTTGACCCAGTTATATTTCACATTCTGCTTTTATTTTTTTCAAACTTGATTATGTATTCATGGAATTTTCCCTTATTATTAAATAGACTTCTCAAATATTATTTTATTTTTTAAATTTTTATTTGTTTATTTTTAAAATAATTTTTAAAAAATATTTTATTTATTTATTTATTTGATGGGGGGGAGCACACAAGCACACACAAGGGAGTGGCAGGTAGAAGGAGAGGGAGAAGCAGGCTCTCTGCTCAGTAGAGAGCC